AACAAACTACGTAAGCCGTTTTGGAAAAGTAAAAAATTAAGCAAAAAAAAAAGCATGCTACCGTTATAGCAAAATGAAATGCATGTTAAAAATTTGCAAGCTTTTTTTAATTATTAAATTATAAATTAAAGTAATGCTAACAATTACTAAAAAATTCGAAGCGGAAAATAAATAATTTCCGGTGCAAGTTTTAACCGTAAAAGGAAAAAAGCGCAATAAATAAAGCAATATTAAATTAATATTAAACAAATAGTAAACGGCGGATATAAAAAAAATTAAACGAAATATAAACGGATTACCCTTTATTATTCCCGTAATTTTCGATAACTACCGTTTTATTAATATAAAAAGTGTTTCGACGGAAATAAAGTAAAGCAATAACCTTTAGCATTTACTTGAGGAAAATACAACGCAATTCCGCGGTATACCCAAAAAGCGCTACAACAACTAGCTAAAATACTTCCGGAATATTACCAATATTAGAAAATATTCCAAAAAAATTAAAACCCGGTTTCCAAAATATAAACCATTTAATTACGAAATTAAATTTAGGCTTAAACCAAAATTAAAGTATTAAAAGCTATACCAATTAAATTTACGGCAATAAAAAAATTAAAAAATTAATTTTAAAAGGATTTGGAAAAAAGCATTATTTAGCTTTCCAATTTATTTATAAAATACGGAATTTTATTTATTCCAAAAAAACGGCGAAAAAAGGATATTTATTAATTACAAACCCTTAAACAAAAATACGATAAAAATCCGATATCTTTTACTTTTTATTAACAAGTTACGCAACAAGTTCGGTAAAGCTAAGCATTATACAGCTTTAAATTTCCGGCACGTTTACGGCTTGCTACGGATTAAAAAAATATAAATGGTTAACCGCTTTCCGGACAAAATTTAAAGTATATAAATTATTAATAGTAATTTCTGGTTATACTAACGCACCGGCAACTCTTTAACGAATAATTAATTATAAGTTGCAAAAATATTTTAACATTTTCGTTTTAACGCATTTAAACGATATTTTAATTTTTTCCGAAATATTAAAAAAATACAAACAACGTATATATTAAGTATTGCAAAAGCTAAAAATAGCAAATTTTTTGGTTAACCCGGATAAATGCATATAGCATATTTAAAAATTAATATTTTTCGGGTTTGTTATTACAATAAAAAAGTTAAAATGGATAAAGCCAAAATTAAGCAAATTAATAATTAATTTGTACCAATTAACGTACGAAACGTACGTGCGTTTTATGCTTTTTTAACTTTTACTAACGCTTTATTTAAAGCTTTAGCAATAAAATTGCACCATTTACTAACTTTACCAAAAACAATACTTAATTTTTTAAAAAGTACGAAAATAAAACGCTTTCGAACAATTTAAAAATGCGATTTTTTAAAAGCCAATATTAATTATTTTAATTTTTAACAAGTTATTTAAAATAAACACAAACGCGTTAAATTACGCAATAAATAAACAATTTAGTTTAAAAAACGAGCAAAAAAAGCTAGACTTTTGCACTATTTTACAAAAAAGAAATTAAAAAAATTAAAGTTATTTTACCCAATTTATAACAAAAAGCTTTTAATCATTCTTTAAGCTTTGGAAAAATAAAAAATATATTTGTACGGAACCAATTACAAAATTGTAATATACATAAATTACAAAAACTTAACGCATTAAATTATTATTTAAAATTTTAATAAACGGCAAACCCGTTAAAGTAAATACGTTTAAAATTACGATATCGAAATCGTATACCGTAAAAGCTCGGAAAACGGTAAAGCAACCGCTTTAAGCAAAAAGGTTAACCATAAAGTTAAAGCTTTAAAAAAACCAAACCGCTTTTGGTTAATAAACCAAAAGGGTCGTTAATTTTAACGTAACGGGCATCAGTTAAAATTAGGGTTGGGAATTAAGTTAAAAGTTATAAGTTAAATTTATAACTTTTGTAAGTAAGTTAGTTAAAGTTAACGGTGTAACTAACTAATAACTTACTTAAAAAAAAGGTAACTTACTTAATTAACGTAATTAGTCATTTTAAGTTAATTTTTGCATAAGTTTTTTTATAAATTCACATAATTTATTGCATATTTTTGCAATTTTTGTAAAAAAAAATTACTTTACATATATATAAAGTGAAATAAATTTAAAATTACAATAAATAATAATAATAAAAGTAATAAAATAACAATAAAATTAATAATTAAAAAAAGTAATAAAAAAAGTAATAAAAAAGCAATGACTTAAATTAACTAATTTAGTTGCTTAAGTAAGTTATTAATTAGTTAAAATAAGTTAAAGTTACGGTAGTAACTTAACTTACTAACTTAATTCCCGGCCCTGGTTAAAATAGCTAAGCTAAAGGATTAAACTTTAGCTAGGATTTTTAAAATTTACAAGCTATTAATTTATAAATATTATACGGTAACAAAAACTTAAAAAAAGGTTTAGCAATACCATAAGTTTACGGGAACTAAAGCCAAAATATAAAAAGCAATAAAAAATTGCTAAATTTGTACCAAAGACAAGCTTAGCAAGCACCCTTTTTATAAATTGCTTTAACCATTGCTAGCGCTTAATAATGCATGGCAAAAAGTTATTATAAACTTTATTATTAAATTCCTTAAATTAAAAAAAGCTAATAATAAGCATTTAATATAATAATATATTGGTAATAATAAACAAATTTACTAAATACGCTTTGTATTTACCATATAAAAAAAAGCAATAACGCTACGCAAATAATTTACGCTTTTTTTCGGTATATAATTGCGAATTATAGCATTCCGCAATGCTTAATTACAAATTAAAACAAATTATTTACAAACAAAATTTAAAAGGTTTTTATAAACTTTTTCGAAGCAAAATATGCTTTATTAATAACGTATTATTTTTAAACGGATAAATAAACAAAACGAACAAACCAAATTATAAAATAATATTTGCAATATTACGTTAATTATAAACAAACCAATTAAATATAGCTATTACCCGTTACTTAATTTGCTTGCAATAATTTAATATACGATAGCATAAAAAGTATGCCGGTTTACGCTAATTATAAATATACGTTTACGGCGTACAAAAAGTTTAAAACCGAAAAAAGGGTTTAATACCGGAATTAAAAATTAAAACATTATTAAATTATACCAAAAGTTCCAAATTAAATTGGAAATGTTGCACTAGCAAAAAACCAAATAAGCTAACAAAAAAAGGGTTAAAAAATTAACTTTTAAAAAAAGGGATAACGCTTACATTTTGCGCACCAATATTAAAATAAAAAGGCTAAATAATAAATTAAACAGAAAAAAATCGAACCCTTTGGGTTAAACGAATTATTTTACCGGTTAATTATAAATTTTAATTACTTTTAACCATGCAAATCCACCCAATCCTTTACGTTTCTTTGTTAAACTTAACCCTGGCTAAACAGAAAAGCACCGAGTTAATAAAAGTTAACCTTTACCAAAAGTAAAAAATTGAAGTCATTTTAAACGAAAGGACGCATTACCGCAAGCAGCAATACTTTGTTAAATGGAAAGGGTAAAAAAAGGAATATAACACGTAAAAAAACGTTACAAACTTTGGAAATTGCTAAAAAGCTTTGTAAAAATATCGCTTAAAAAATTAGCAATAACTTTAAAGCTTGCAAAACGCTCCAAATTTAAAGAAATTTAACGGGTTAAAAAAGGAAAACTTAAAATAGCATATCCAAAGGATAAGCTAATAAGTTTAAACAAAAAAAAGGGTAACCCGAAATGGCTTGGTTTTGCTATTCCTATTTAAGGTTGCACTGGGAATCGAACCCAAAACCTCCCGTTACAAAAGCAAACGCGCTACCATTGCGTTATATAACCAAAGGAAATTGTTAAAAAAATTATAACTTACCCAAATAAAAATTGGCAAGCAAATTAAAGATAAAATTAACTTTTAAAACTGCTTAATTAAAAAATAAAAGAAAGAAATCGGGCTAAAGCAAAAAAAAAAAGGGCTGGCTACCGTTAAAGTAATAGCTTGCGCTGCTTTTTTTATTTTACCCGCTCCAGCTCCTTTACATTATCGATACCCAACAAAAAGCGCAAAAAAAGGGTTTCCGCTACAATTTTTTTTTGTTACTGCAAGCGCTTAATGCGTGCATTGGTTACGCAACGCGCTTTCTCCGCCTTTTCCAATTTATGTTTCGCTTTTGCAAATTAAAAAGCCGCGTGCTAAAGCTAAGCCAAAAAAAATAAACCAAAAACGTTGCAACGAAACCGGTTTGCGCAAATGCAAAAAATATAGCAAAAAAAATGCTAAACGAAACCAAGCAAAATAAATAACTTTGGGATTTGCAAAAAAATAAAAAGGAATAATGCCCCCGGAAAATAAAATAAATTAAAGCAAAGTATTTTAACGGATTGTTAAAAAATAACCGGACGATTTTAGCTTTTAAACCCGTTCGGACATTTTGTTTAAAAAAAACGGTTAAATAATATGGAAAAAAAGTACTTACAATTAATAAAATAACGGGAAAGATAATAATACGTAGCTAAAAGGGCTTAGTTATTTAAAAAGGGGATTTAATGTTGCGAATTAATAGCTATAACCCAAAAAAGGTTAAAAAAAAGCGGCAGCAATAGTTAGTTAAAAAGCTACCCCGTTTAAAGTTACGTAACTTTGTAACGATACGTATAATACGGAACCGTATTATACGCATTACTACAACCACCGGTAATACGCTCGCAGCAAGCACATATTTATAAAAATTAAAAGGGGTTGGAAAAGGTATAAAAAGGAAAGGTTTTTTTTTTTGCCTTAAATAGTTTTCGATTAAAGCTTTGGCATTAATTAATTTAAATTAGCTTTTAAATAACCTTTGGAACAAGCATTTAAACCGCACCCAAATTATTTTGTAAATTCCTTTAATTGTTAAGTTAGGTATTACTGCTTAATACTCTTTCAGTGCTTTACTTTAAAAATAAAGGCTTAATTGTAACAGTTAGCAAAAATGGTTAATATATTTTCGTTTTCGGTAAAAGGGTATTTAAATTAAGCTAACGTATGCTTAACGCCGCGGAAAAGCTTGCTTTCGTAAGCTGCGCTTTTAACGCTAAAAATAACTTTATTAATTGCAAAAAAAATTACGCTTAAACGTTTAATTTTCCTGCTACAACCAAGGTTATAAGTTTTTTTGCATTTTCCGGCCGGTTTTTATTGTATTTTTTTCGGTTTTAATGCTTTATTATTATTTTAAAACCCAAATAAAATTGGAAGAAATGGCTTTTCCAATATAAACGTAACGCTTACGTTGCGTTTAAAGCCGTTTATAAAGCGTATTTATTAAATAATACTTTTGCTTTTCCCCGTTACCCCGCAAATAACCTTAATATTATAACTTAATGCAATTTTGCTACTTTTAATATTTATGCCGAAATTGTTTTTATAATTAACATTTTAACCCATTTTTTTTAAAACGGTTACGTTAATGCATTTCCGGTTTTTTTAAAAATTGGTTTAAGATTTTTATTTAAAGCATGGCCGTACGTTTATTTAATTACATTTATTTTCGTAACGATGCTATTGCTTTTTTTTAATAGCGTTAAACCCCGTTTAAACTTGCGCAATTCCAATTTAAGTAAACCCAATTTTAATAATGTTTTGCAAATTGGTAACGGCGACGATAATGGTAATGAAACCGGCGAAATAAGCGATAAAAAACTGGAGGAAGTAAGTATAACCGATTTCGTTAGTAAATTAATGGGGGTTTAATCCATTAATACTAGGGTTAAGAATTTAATTAGTTAGTTTAGTTACCCCTTTAACTAAAACTAACTAATTTAATTACGGCAGTAACTAAAATTAAAAGTAATTAATTAATAACTAATTAAAGTAATTAAATTAATTACTTTTAGTTATTTAAATAAATGTTTAATTTATTTAATTAAAGCTATTTGTATGTATGTATTTATACGCTGTTATGTTTATGGAAGAAACCTTAATGCTGCGGCTAAGTACATGCAAATGGGGGAAAACCTTTGGGTTAGGCCTAAAGAAGAAAAACCCTATGCTTGCGTTCCCGCCTTTTTAGCGGTGCTCTTTCGTAGCGGTATTAAACCGCTTTGGCTAACGCTTACTTTTCTCCACGCTCGATTGCTCGTAAAGGCTCCACCCGGGAATTAACCGTTTTCCCGCGTGCAGCCCCTTTTGCAAAGGGCCGATAAAGCCGCGTCCTGTTTGTTTGTAATTGGTTGGTTAATTGTTTTATTATGTAATTTGCTAAAGCTTGCCGGGCTTTAATCGTTATTGCTTTAAGGTTTAAATTGCTAACTTTATTTTGTTTGCCCAAATGGTTTAAAGCATTTGGAAACCTTTTTTTTATTCCCTTTTTTTTTATTTTTTTGCTTTTTTCCTTTACTGGCCCGTTATTAACGTTTTTTTATTTAATGCATTACGTGCGTTATTTTTCTTTTATTTTGTACCCCAAAAGGTTTTAACTTTTAATAGTACGTGCAAAGTAATAACTTTGCTAAGCACGTAAAGGGTGCATTTAAAATTAAATTAATAGTGGTAGCAAACGGGTGCAAAGCGGTGGCGCAAAGGTAAGGGAGGTAAAGGGGTTGCTATCGAAATCGATAAAGTTGTTGTAATTGTATCGGTTGTTTATCGGCGTTGTTAATATTGGTTAATTTGGCTTATCGGCTTTTATCGGATTTCGATCCTGGCAAGCCAGGGGCTTTAAAAACAAAAAGTCCTTGTGGTTTCGACGGGATTGGAACCCGTGGTTTTGGCGGGACCGGCCTGGTGCAAAGCCACTGCATTACGAGGCTTAATTAAAGCTATTTATTAAGTAAATAAATAAGTAAGTAAATAAATAAGCAAATAAATAAGCAAGTAAATAAAAAGTAAATACTTAAATAAATAAGTAAATAAGTTAATACGTAAGTAAAAAATTAAAAATTAAAAATTAAAAATTAAACATTAAAAATTAAAAATGTATTACCGTTTTTATTGCTAATATTATTATTAATTTTTTATTATTTTTATTACCATTTTTATAACTATTTTTACGATTATTTTATTATAACTAAATATTAAACCGTTAAAATCCTTTAAATTTTGTATGAATATATGCAAATTGTATGTACAAAAATAACTTATAATAACCAAATTAATTACTTTAATTAGTTAAAAAAATTAGTTAATTATTAATTAGTTAAGCTAGTAACTAAAATTAACTAATTTAATTTAATTACGATTAAAACTAATAATTAAGGATTAAATTCCCAACCTTAATTAATACGGAAGCGGGCGGTTATATAAGATTAATTAAAGTAATTGCTGCAGTAATTGCTGTTGAAAGGGAAATAGCGGCACCCAAGGAAATAATTAAAAAGGTTGCTACTTTTTCCTTTTTTTTAAAAAAAATTTCTAGTAACAACCCCGTTAGTTATAAGAGCGATATTGAAAACGTGTTTTACGAAAATTCCCCGAACGTATAAAAGTTTTAATATTTTCCTTTTTATCCCCGTTTTATTTGCGGCTTAAAATTTTTTATAATTTGGGGGGTTTTTAAATTGCCCGCCGAAACCTGCCTTTACGGGCTTAAATAGGTTTTTGCTATTTAAATATAAAAATAAAAAGGTTGCGTTATTTTTATTTATTAGTTTGTAATGGTTGTTAATAATTAGCAAAATGTTTAGAGGGTTTTTTAACAAGGTTTAAAGTAAGTTAACCTTTTGGGGCTGGGGTAATTATACCTTTTGTTTCTTTTTTAAATTCGCCGTTTCGTTGCGGCGGGTTTTTTTTTGCTATTTTTTTTCTTTTTCTTATTTTGTGGTTTATTTATTAATAATGCTGCTTAATAAAGCGTAATTAAAAAGCCGGTTTATTTTTATAAACCATTTGGTAATTGTTATTGCGTTACCGGGTTGGTTTAATAAGGATTTTACCGTTTTTTTACTTTTTAATGAAGTTTTTTTTTGTTCCCGTAAATTAAAGCAATGTAATAATACGTAAATTATAATTTCCGGTTTTTAACCGTATTAATACAAAATTGCTATGCTAGGAATTTTCCAAATCGTTAAATAACTTTTAAGCTTTAACCGTTTCGTTTGCAATTAAATAAATAGCAAATTTTGCGTTTTGTAAAGGTTGCGGTAAAAGTTTAACCTTTTTTCGTTAAATTGCTTTTTATTAGCTTTAACGCCGTTGCAAATCGTTATTTTATAACCGTTTTATTATTTTTTTTATGCTTTTAGCACCGCCATTTCCAAGTTTTCCTTTTCGATTTAATTTAACGTTTCGCTCCGTTATTGGAACATCCGGGTAATAACCGTTGTAAAACAAAATGTTTTTTAGTTTTTGCTATATCTTTTTGCAAACATTTTTAATTTTCCGGTTAAACCGTTTTTCCGCAATTTTTTTTCGAAATAAATAACGCAACCGTTAAATTATAATTAAATTAAAGCAACGTGCATTTTCGCTTTTAAAAGTTATTATAAAATGCTTTTATAAGCCCCGGTCGCCGTTTTTAAATATTTGTTTTGCACTTTTGCTTAAATTTTAGCTATTTTTTTTAAAGCGTTGCAAAATGTTATTAAATTTATGGTAAACCGGTGCTGCGTATCCCAACGCCGCTTTTATTACGGCCAAAAATAAGTTTTTGGTTTCAGCAAATGTAAACTTTTACGTTGTTATCGCTAAGCGTATAATAAATAGCGTTTAAATTGTTATTTTTTCGTGCATTTTTTGGATATGCCAGGTTTAATTTAATTTAAAATTAATTTAAAAATTTAATATTTGTACTTTTTTGCCCGTAGCTTTTAATTTTACCGTAACCTTTCCGAAACGGAAAAGTAACGTTAAAATAAGTTATTTTTATTAACCAAATTAATTAATATTTGCCTGGGTTAAATTTTGCTTTAAATTTAATAACCCATTTTAAATATACGTTATAAACGGGTTTAAATTTATTAACGGCATTTATTGCGTTGCAATTAAAATTAATAAAATTAATATCGTTTGCAAAGCTTATTGCCGTTTTTTTTTTTACTTTTTGCAATTTTTTGTACAAATTTGCCGTATAAATGATAAAAAGAATAAGCAAAATGGGGAATTTTTGCGGCACGCCGTACGGTACCCGGCCTTTTGCCGTATCCTTTCCGTTAAAATGCAATATCGTTTTTCGATTATTTAAAAAGCTTTTTAAAAAATTTAATACTTATTGTAAAAACCAAATTTTTATTATTTCGTTAATAAAAGTACGTACGAAACGGTATTAAAATCGCCGTTTATATTTAAAAATAAAAAGTTAATTACCGCTATTACGTTTTATGCCGTAATTATTACTTTTGTAAGCAAATACATAGCCGTTTCCGTAAATTTGCATTATTAATTGCCCATTTATTTGTTAAAAAATAATTGGTATTTTTTGCAATGTTTTTAATCCGGAACGTAATTTTTTTTTAATATTTTTTTATCGTTTTTAATAAATTAATGGGCTGTTACGCTTTTAAAATGCTTCGGTTTTTATTGGGGTTTTAAAATATAATAATGCGGAATTTCCGGAACCTTTCCGAAAAGTATTTGCAATTTACGCACTTTATAAATATTTTGGTTAATATTGCAAATAATGCCGGGTTTATTGCTAATAACCTTTTGGTAAAGATTTTATTAAACCAGGGGCTTTATAAATTTTAATATTTCGAAAAGTCCTTTTAACGTTTTTTGCGGTAATTTTCCGGCGCATTAGCAAAAAGTAAAAGTTCAATTTGGGGTTTTCTGGAACGTTTAACGTTTTTACTATTAAAATTAAAAAAAACCCTTTTTTTAACGCTATTTTTTTCCTTTTTTATTGCCGTTACCTTTTTGCCAGGTAATTTTAACGTTAAAAACGAAAATAAAAAAGTAATTGGTAATTTTAATATTTCGCCCATTTAGCAATAATTTACATGCTTTTAACGTTTTAATTTTTGCTTGCTTCGTACATTGCAATGCGTTACGTATACCCTTTCGCTACTTAAATAACGCTTTTCCACTATTTAATAGCTTTTTTTATTTCGGCGTAATTAATATTTATTCGGTTTGCTTTTTACGCCGTTTTTGTTTGGTATTTTTTGCTAAATAATTAAAAAAAGTTAATTTATTAATTATAGCTTTTATTTTTCCATGTAATTTTAAAATTATTAAATTGCAAAAAAAAGCATATTTTCAAATAAAGACGTTTTTTGCCCGCGCGCAACAACAACAACGACCAAATAAAAAATTAAAGCCATTACGAAAACCGGAAACGCTAATTTGCTTAAAGGCTAAACGGGTTCGATAATACCCCAACGCGCCGTTGCGGCGCTAATAAAAAAAGTAGCAAGCTTAAACCAATCGAAATACGCAATACGCAACGGGAATTTTACAAATTAATAATAACCAAATAAAAACCAACCGCAAATACGAAAAAACCTTAATTAATTATTGCAATAATGCAATTTGCAACAAAATATTTTTAATTAATTAATAAAATAAAAAAAATTACAGCCGCTGAAATTATTACGAAATTCGTTTAATACGTTAAAACGATTAACCGGGCAACCGCAACTTTAATAACCCCAACGATTAACCCTAAAGCAATCCAAACGATTTTTTAATTTTTCGAACAAATTAAATCGATTTTTAAAAAAGAAAAAGCAATAAATTATAACCCCCGGCGGTGGAAAAAATAAGTTGGGCATAAATAGCCGCAAAAGCGCAAGCAACCTTTAAAAAACCTTAAGCAACGGTAATTAAAAAAGCAACCGCGCCCATTATTAACAATAAAATCCTTACCGTAACCAGGGTTGGGAATTAAGTTACAATTAAATCATTAAGTCATGTTTTAAGTTAAACTTTGCAATAAAATATAAAATTAACAAAAATAAGTAAAACGTTTATTTCTTCGTATTTATATAAACAAATAGCAAAAGAAAATATATTATAAGTTTATATTTTTTAAAAATGGTATATAAGCGGGTAAAAATGCATTAAGTTACAATTAGTTAAAAAAAAAGTTGAAAATGACTTAATGCAAATTACGTAATATATAATTACGTAATTAAATATTTTAAATATTATTTATATAAAACTGAGTTTTGTGTATTTAATGGTGGTATTTTTATACTTATAACTATAATAGTTAATTTAATATTAAGCTTTAAACTGTAACTTTTTACTAACTTAACGAGTAACTTAAATAACTTAATTCCCAACCCTAACCGTAACAAACGGGAAAAGGACTAAAAAAATAAAACCCGAAAAAATTAAGCAAATTTGCAACGAAATGCTAAGTAAAAAATGGATCGAAACGGTTTATTAGCTCCCGTTGGAAAACGTTTGCTTGCATTTTTGCAATGTTAAAACGGGTTGGCATATTAATGCCGTTTTTTTAATTTTAAATTATTTATAACATAATGTTATTATTATTTAAATTAAAAATACAAAAATATGCAATGCAAGCAATTAACGGCATGCGCATAGTGCGATTCAAAAAAATACAACAATAAATAATACGAAAAAAAAAGGAAATAACGAAAAGGTTGCCAAAAAATATGTTTAGGGCTTTTTGCATTCCACGCAATAAAATTAGCCATTTTTTGTATTTTTTACAATGCTCGATTAAAAAGCAAATTTAATAATAATAAAAAAAGCATATTTTACAAAATTTACTTATTACGAAAACCCGGCGATTTTGGCGTTAAAATTTCCGCAAATTTAATTATTATTACAAATTCGGCAAAAAACCCGAAATAATAAACGTTAACGAAAATAAAACCCCGTTAACATTTTTTTCCCGTAAAATAAACCGTACGGAAAAAAATACCAGCCTTTTTGCGGTAACCCAACCGCATATTTTAATAATAACCCAAAATACACTTTTTTTACTTTTACCCCAAAAAATGTAAATACGAAACGGGGTTAAAGCAAAATCGAAATTGCTTTTTCCGCAACCAATTTTACCAATTACCGGAAAGGCCAAAATTTTTTTTACGGCAAATTGGGAAAATGCAATAATTACGTTATTCGTAAAAAGCCAAAAGTTACAAGTCCCAAAGCCGCCCCCCCACAATTTACCCGTAGCCTTTTTAACGAAACCAAACTTTCCAGCAATACCAGCTTTATCATTCCTTTTAAAAAAAGTAACCGGAAAGGTTAACCAAAAAAACCTTTCCTTTAT